AAGAGGGTTTGGGGTTTTGTGGCCGATCCTATATTGTACAGACGGGTACAATGTTCCCATTTCTGAGCCTACTGTAAATAGAATCTGCTTTGTGCATATTGTTCAACTTTCTTGGTGAAACTGTGACTGCTTCTGTGTGTTTCTTGAGGCTCTTTACCCTTACATATACGATTGGTGGTTGTACATTTTGCTATGCATGCAGTGTACTTCTTTTCTATTGATGATGCCGAGCTCCGGACTGCTCATAAGCTTGACTACCATTTGAGCACGGTGAAATGTGACTCTATATGTGCCTTCCAAGGTCTTCGTCTCATTTTCTTTTGTCAAAATCCTGACCTTTTGAGTGATGTATCTAATCTAATAAGAGAAGTTGGTCCTTGTCGCTATATTCCTCATGGGGAGAATACAATGGTTAACGAGCTAGCTTCTCATGTCTTTGGCTTGATAGCCTTGATGTATCGCTTTTGTTCATTGTGCCGAATCATTGTGAAAAGAAATTAATTTTTTTAATGTGTAAATTAATTTTTTTCTACGTATTAATTCGGCTTGTAATTTGGTCCTGGATCCGTCCATATTGAGATGGTTTTGCAGCTTTTGCTTAATGAAGCGATGGAGATTGTTGACTAAAAAAAAAAATGATAGTGGATAAGCTTAATTGATTGATTTGCTATCACAAGTCCTTTGTTTAACCATGTTCTTTTTTTATACTAAGATGTTTTTTTTTTATTAGTTTCGATGTTTTGATAAGGTACACACACAAGTAGTAAATGGATAGGAATGTTGAAAAACTTTCAACAAGTTACATAAAAAATTTTGAAATTATAATATGAGAATTCTTCTTTTTGAATCAACGTCCCTCTTAATTCAGCACACACACAAGTAATAAAGGATAAAATGTTGAAAAACTTTCAACAAGTTACATAAAAAATTATGAAATTATATGAGAATTCTTCGTCCCTCTTAATTCAACACTCGCTCTAAAAAATAAATATAAATGTTAATATAAATCTTCCTCTTCCTCTTCCTCATTCACGAGTTTTTTCTTTCATATCATTGTGGCGGAAAATGTTTCTTTTTTTTAAAGGGAACTTTTTTAGTAGCCATTTGTTAAGAAGGAAGAAGTATTAATGAAATGTAAGAAATTTTTTTCACAATCACGTTCATGTGTAGTTTTATACATACAAAATTGTAGTGTCCTGAACAAATGTGGAATTCAGAGGAATTTTAGAATTAATTGAAAATATATTCCAACCTAGATCACGTCAAAATATAAAAATTTGGTGCACCAAAGTTCTAGATATTCAAACTTGGAATATTGTTGACCTAATTAAATTTGACCATTGAAAAATTCTCACCATGAAACTTAAGTCAAAGAGTCAAACCTATTTGTTTCCGGACTTGATCAAATTATGGGTTATCGGATCCAAGTATTTGAGACAGGCCACAGCCACCCCGGGCGAGGGCATTAACATGGCGGGGCCGACCTGCGTAATCTGGGATATCTCTTGGCGACTCACACGCCTGGCACGTGTACCTAAATGTGAACTAAAACAGACCGAACAAGCAAAATGGCAGAATATTTTATTAACAATAAATAAAACTTCAGATTGGTCAAAAAGGAAAATTCAGCGACGGGGAGAGGAAACGTTCAGACTTTCAAAACACAGAGCAAAAAGGGTCTCTGGTAAAGAAAAAAGAGAGAAAATTTTGATTCTTTTTCTCATTTTTTGTAATTTTTTCAGCTGCAAAGGGTTTATGAGATGGGGAAAATTGGAGCTTTATTTTGGGTTTAAATTAAGAGCTGGAGCTTGGATTCAAGGTTGAAAGAGGTAAATATCCTTTTAATTTTCTTTAATTTTTAAATGTTTTGAATAATTTCTGCTGTTGGAAGCGATTTTAATTTACTACCTGCTGCATTGATTACCACAATCCTAATTATATCTGTTAGTGTACCTCTCCTATTAGTCATGTGTATATCACACGTTACACGCGCTAGCTCTAATGTAGAGGAAACAATTTGTTATCTAGGGTTTCGGTTTATTGTTTACCCTCTTCCCGTTCCTTTAAAGTTCATATTTTCACGCATTTTCCCTGTTATGGTGGGTGAAATATTTTAGTTTATTTGATTTTTTGGTTTATGGAAAATCTAGATTTGTTCTTTTGGTTTTGTAGTTTTTTCTACGGTGTTTTTTTATTTAGTTGGGCTAAGTGTAATTCAATATCACGGTGATTTTTTTTACTGTTTTATTACGTGAATCAGGTAATTATTTACATTTTCTTCTGAATTTCCTCTGTTTCAGAGTTCAAATTGAGTCCCTTTTAATTATTCATCTTGGAACAATACATTTTTATGGTTGCCTGGTCATTGATCAACAAGGTAAATTAATGCTGGTTAACTTTAAGAATACTGAATAATGCTGGTTTGGTTGTATTTATGGTCGTAATTATGGCTGCCTGGTCATTGAGCATTGTAGTATACAGTCTTAAAGTGTTAATCCTAATTGTTAATTGGATCGAAAGGTTGTTGCACTATATTCAGTGATTGACTTGCATAACTTCTGTTTCTAACTGAATTAAACATATTATTTTCAACTTTTGATTACAGGGGAAAGCATGAGGCAGAAATTTAAGATGCATTTAAATCTTTGTTTGTCCCCCATTTTTTCAAAACTCATTTTCAACCAACATTCTTTCATAAAATAATATTACACGTAAGTTGAAAACTTTTTATTATTTTTTAACCACTCATTTTCCAAAAAAAAAATCACAATTCCAAGACTCATTTTCCCTCAAATTTTCATTAAAATGGAGCCCAAACAAGGGCTAAATTTTCAGGTTGGATGAGTGGAAGTAGACTTTGAACCAAAGGAACTTTCACTCCTGTGTGATATTAATGTGTATTAATCCTTGGTTGAAGTGTCTTTTACACTATTCGGCATAAGATCTGATGGTTCACTCCCCCAACAGGCAGATGATTATAATTTATACGAAGCTATCATTCATAACCATTATTTGCACGCATCACTTCTTTTGTGTCACACTGTTTGAGTAAAAATACACTTCTCTGCATATTCATCTTTATTGTTTTGCTTTGCCTTCACCCTCCTCCCACTACATTGGTACCCACATGATAGCGTACAAGTGAGATCACCACATATGGATGGGATACATGCACCTGTGGAAGCGAGTGCACATACAATTTCCGTTCCTTGTTTGTACAGAAGTCTAAACGTGGAGCTGCTGATTTTTGTTATTCTCTGCAACAATATGATGCCATAATATCAATCATTATGAACAAGCCTTGTTTTATTTTTCTTATTCTAATTTTTCCATTGTATTATTTTGGTAGCTTTCCCTGTTTACTGGGGGTTTCAAATTTTCAACTATTAGCACATGTAGGATTTTCACTGTAAATACGAAGATCATTGAAATATTCTCTTCCAATTCCTTCTCCCCTGCTCTCTTCTGTCTGTTGTCCCCCTTTTGATTAATAACTTCATCCTTGAATAAAAAAGACCTTTTTTTTTGGAGGAATATCCCATTGCTATTTCAACCTATCATTTTCCATTACATAAAAAAGAATTAGACATTCATTAGTTCATGCATCATGACAAGAATCCTATCTCTCTAAATAAAATAGGCTTATAGAAAAGAAAGAGTTAACACAAAATCTTTTTTTCAATTTTATTCTTAGGAGTTTATTTCGTTCTTGTTCTCATTTCTCAGAAAAAGGTGGATGTCGCCAAAGTGAAGCATTCCCCTTCTCTGTTCTTCCCTATCTTGTTCTCCATTCTTGTGTTCTCTATACAGAGCTGCATCAAAAGTCTGTGGTATTGAGCGATTCAAACACTTGCGCATTGCTACATTTTAGTTAGCTCTTATGCCTCTGTACTGGTATATATAATTGCTGCTATGTACTTATCAGCTTATTTCTACGATCTTGAATTTGGAGACTTTGGGGTGTTAGAAGGTCAATTGTATGAGATGATCTTGCACAGTGGTTTTAGAAGAGAGTTGCTAATGGGCATTTGAAGTTTTTGGGGTGAGGAATTTAGTAATTGATAGCATTACCTCATGAAGGCGGTTGTACCTTAAGCAAATCTAAATTTTAAATCAAAATGATACTATATCCTTTGTTTCAAAAAATTCTCCATCCACCCGTGGTGCAGAATCTTAATCTCGTTTGGATCTTTTTTAGCACCCTTTGTTCCAAAAGTCTTAAAGCATGGTTTGAAAGTGTTTTTAAATGATTTAAATTATAAATAGATAAAAAATTTGTTGTGAATAAGTGGGCAGTACCTGTGGGTTCAAAGTGAATAAAAAGTGGTTTGAATGTTTATAAATAGTTCATAAGCACGAGCCAAACGTAGGCTTATTCCTACACAAGTACCGTTAACATTTGGACTTCTCATAATAAATTGTTTGTAATTGATAGCAGTACCTCATTAAGGTGGCTATGCCTTAAGCAAATGTAAATTTTAAATCAAAAAGATACTATATCTTTTGTTTCAAAAAATCCCCTATCCACCGTGGTGCAAAATCTTAATCTTGTATCTTTTTTAGCACCCTTTTGTTCCAAAAGTCTTAAAAGCATGTTTGAGAAGTGTTTATAAACGGTTTAAATTATAAATAGTTAAAAATGAGAGTAAATAAGTGGGTAATACTTGTGGTCCTCCCTCGAAATGTATGTATAAAAAACTGTTTGTGTGTTTATAAATTTGAGTTGAACATAGGCTTATTCGTGCACAAGTATAGTTCACCTTTGGACTGTTCATAATAAGTTGTTTGTTCTTTGGCCTGTCTTTCCAAGAAAACTTGGTCAAATAATACAGAGGGTTATTCCGATGTCATTGCAGTCAAAACATTGAGATTGAGCTCAATCTCAATGCTTCTCAATATTTATTGTTTAGCACTGTTTGTTCGGAGGGTCATATTCTACTCCAATACGGACAATATTGAGACAGATGAAGATAAGTCACTTTGAAATGCTTGATAGCAATGACATCCTTGCCATGTTGCCATGTATATTTTAAAAAAATTATCTGAGATTCAACCCTGTTAACTTCCAATTATGAACCTGGGTAATTTTCATGCTTCTAGTCGTGCTGTGGGTGTTCTATTTTTCCTCTTTCAATCACATTGTTAGCCCCTAAAGATCCAGAAAGATTCACTATGTTGCTTGATTTTTTATGACAACTTATTTCTATCTAATGTCTTGGTTTTTTACCTGTTCAGTTTCTTACATTCAGTTGATGAATGGATGGAAATGCCCATGAGTAATCAATTTGTACATGCATGTGAGGCCATTAATCTAAAAATACAAGAACTTGTAATTTTATTCATGATATAAAAGACTTCCAGTGTCTGTTCTCATCTTCTCAAGTGCGAATCTTTCCCTGAGGAATAAAATGCCAGCCCTCCATGTTTATTTAAGCTCTCACACACATGCACACTCATTCTCTACTCATGAGCATTTCTATCTGTCCATAAAGAAATGACAAAATTGAACCATATTGTGAAAGAACAAGGTATATGTTAAAATAAGTTGAAATTGGAACTTAAAATGAGACTTTTTGTATTTTTAAAATATAATCCTTAAATTTTCATTATGCTCCTTGACAACTTTGCATCAATTCAAGCTTTCAATGTCTTTCGTTTTCACTTAAAAAACATATTAAGAAGTAAAGCAAGGAGTAAAATTGATCAATGTAAATCTGCCTCCATTTAGCATAACATAAGCACTCGAAGTTTGGCTCTTTAACCATTCTAGCTTATTTTACCAACTTCCATGTTTGTACTGCACAGTAGCTTCCTCAGTCATGCACTAAATGCAGGGCCACACTCAGTTTATTTGAAATCCTGATATTACCCAGCTGCACATAGAAAGGACATAAACAAATATGTCTAGATAGCTTTGACCCCGAAAAGTAGCCCTAACACATGGCCAACAGGATGTAATTCCACATAAGCTCCTTCCTGCACGTTGTAACACACCATTAGTCACTTGTGACCTTTTTCGGTGAGAGTGGAAGTGGCCGCGAGCACTCCCATAGCCAAGTCAGTGAGAGGAGTTGAGATGTCCGGTGGTGGTGGTGATCACCTGAACGTCATTATCAATATAAATATGTGTGGACAAGGATAATGTAAAAAGCTAGTGTTATCTTTTCTCCAGAGACCGAGAGGGAGACCCCTTCAATGGTGCAAGAGTGAGTATTTATAATAGGAGGTGAGAGGGGAACCTATGGATGTAGAGCACGTAGCTTCGGATCCTGGATAGGTCGTCCTTTCATAGGCGTCAATCCGTAGGTGGGAAGACATTTAATGCTTCCTGACACAGTAATGCTTGACGTTTTGGAGTCTGTCACACAGGCGTCCCATCAATCAATCTTATGGATTTGATTTTGAGATCTTTACATAAAAGATCTTTTAGTACATAGGGGCGAAGTGGAGTGGTTCTAGGCAAGAGTTGTAGTCATGCTCTGGGTACCTTATCTCCTCATCACTTCGGAATTTGTCAGTTCGCTTGAGGCGTAACGAAGCGATGCGGAGTGCAAGCTTTAGCAGATGAATCCAGTCCGTCCACTGCGTGGCGGATGAGTTCAGTTCGTCCAGTTCGTGGCGGATGATTTCGTTTTTCCACCACGTGGCATATGAATTCAGTTCGTCCACCATCATCCAACACGTGGTGGATAACGTGGAGGCCTGTAACACAATAGCTATTGAGCTCCCAATGTTTTTGGTTTATGTGTTCAACGTTTTGATCTAGTTTCCTCTACCTCTTTTATGCTTACTATTCGACTGCTTAGTGTTTTCTTTGTTTGCTTATTGTTTCACTGCTACAAAATGTGTAAGGGGCTATTTGCATTAATGGAAAGTGACATAGAAGAACTTGGTCCTGGAAAAAAAAAAAAAAATTGGCTATCAAATAAAAATCTTTATCGAATCTTTTCTTCCTTCTCTTGGTGTCGAGCCATCTCATAATCGCCATATGCTCCAAACAACCGGTTAACCACCTTACATTTCCTTCAACCACTCATCTCTTATTGTCACCATATCATCCCTGTTTCTGTGTTTCAGATCCCAACCCTTCATAGCTGCACCAAACGACACTATGTACGCTAGATCTAAACATTATATACATTTGCCACCCCCACTAAAAGCTGTTTTAACTCTTTCTCAACATCTGATTTATTTGCTTTTCTTTCATCTGCTGGTTGATACTTCCTGGCACCCACCACTCAGATAGTGAGAGCGAGAGAGATAGGCATCAAGTATTATTTGAATTGTTTTTGCTCCATTTTCTTCTGTCCTGTGCTTGGAACCCTAAAATTTCTTGAATTGTTTGTTAAGATTTCGGAATAACTATGTTTATAACCTTTACTTAATATGATGTTTTGCAGTAGATTTCTCAAGTGAGATGCAGGGAAATGAAATAGCACGCTGGACTTCAAACTTGTGAGAAATTATGTCACTTGACGATTTCTTCACCTTGACTGAGACGAATGATGGGCTTACAGACCCTTCTCGAGTCAGGGAACTTGTGGCTGTCATGCAGAAAGATAGAGATTGTATTATGAATGTTGGTGATGCAACTAAGCAGTGGTCTGCAGTGGCAAGAACTATAGCTGCCACTGAGAACAAGGACTGCCTCGATCTTTTTATCCAGTTAGATGGGCTCCAGTTTATTGATAAATGGCTGAAGGATGCCCAGAATTTCAGCAATGAAACAGGTGAAAGCTCTGTGGAAGTGTCAATTTCTCATTTACTGCAAGCACTTGAAAAGCTGCATGTAGACAACGAGAAATTGGTTTCTACAAAAATCTGTACCACCGTGAAGGATCTTCTTGGCCATAATTGTTCCAAGGTGCTGGATAGAGCTCAAGCTCTGTTGGATAGCTGGGAAAAAGATAGAGGTAGCAATGCATCTTCAGTGAATACTGAAAGAATTGGGCCTTTGACAGATAATGACACACGAATAACCAATATTGAGAGAGATAGTAGACATTCAGAATCCTCTTGTGGAGGTGCTCTTATTTCAAGAGAGAGTGCTGGTGAAGAAAAATGTCAGCAATCAACCAAAGATAATCCGGTGCCACCTACAAGTTTCAATGTTCTTGAACCTGACTATGTTGAAAGTGCACAAACTTCTGACAGAATTTTGGACCACCCAGTTATGAATGATAGAACTTCAGATCATGTTGGCTTGCCTTCTTCCTCAAAGCCTGCTAATGAAAACGGCTTCATTAAGATGGAGTCTTTTGCATGTCATCCTATAGTTACTACCTCAGTTGATTCATGCAGTCCAGCAATTGCAAGACAAGGTTTTCTTGGTGATGGGACAGATTTGAATGAGTTGGAGTCGGCTCATCATGTAATGCAGACCAAAAAGATTGAAAGTTCACCGGAGAAATTTGGCTTATCTGATGAATTTAAGGTGTTAGGAGATCGACCTTTTTCTTCAACTTCTGAAGCTGCAGATGCATCAAGTTCTGCAATAGAATCTAGTTTACTGAAACTGTCAGGTGCTATGGAGAAAGTTTCTTGCCAGAAAAGTTCGTCTTCTGTTGATGTGAGGCTAACTGACTCTGAAGGAAAGGATGATGTTGATGATGGTGAATGTTCACTTCAATGCAGAAGCCCAAGTGTTCGAAGAACTGAAGAAAATGCTGAACTTGACACCGTGTTGGAGAACTCATCCACCAGTGAGCAAAGCTGGGAAAATCCCAAGAATTCAAGTGCGTTCTTGTTGAAGATTGAAGATGAGGGAGCGATTGACAAGATTAATAATGATGGAAGTGATGATGCTCTGGCAATTGATTTTAATTTTGGGAAAAACGTTGATAGAGAACCTGATATGACCAACAAGAAATCTATTGTTGAATTAGACTACGGGATTCTAGATCCATTAGAAGTTGCTCGGCAAGTTGCTATAGAAGTGGAGAGAGAACTTGTAGATTTTAGAGAACAAAGTTGCGGTTCTTCTGAGAAAGCACCAGAAGGTAAATTACAGGTTCCAGATAGCCCAGACTTTTCAAGCAGAGAAGGATCCCATGCCAGCAAAGGCTCATCTGAGGAGGTGGCCCACGATCCAGATCTGTCTGCTGAAGCTTCGCCGATGCAGGAGGAGTCTGCAACTAGTAGTGAAAACCTTGATGCTGAGCCAATAAATGACACACAAGATGTTGAAACATCTCAGGTCACTGAGGTGGCTCAAGAAGAAGCCAACATGGCGAGAGGCCTATGCAATTTTGATCTGAATCAAGAAGTTCATTCAGAAGATACGGATCCCCCTGGGAATCAAATTTCTACCACTGTCTCTATTGTTTCTGCTTCAAGGGCGACAGCAGCTCCTGGATTACCTGTTGCTCCGTTGCAATTTGAGGGGAAATTTGGATGGAAAGGTTCAGCTGCAACCAGTGCTTTCCATCCAGCATCACCTCGCCGGATGCCTGAAGGTGATAAGGATCTTTCCACCGGGGAAAGCAGTAACAGTTCAAAGCAGAGACACGGATGTCTTGACATTGATCTGAATATAGTTGAGAGTGAAGATGGTAGAATAGGGGACCTACCAGATAAACAGGTTCCAGTATCTTCCACTCTTCTTTCTGGGGAATCATCTGTGGAAGCAAATTCAAGATCAGAACGTCTTGAGTTGGATCTTAATAGAGCAAGTGAAGATGGTGATGTTCCATCAGATTGGAAAATCAACGGACAGATCTTTCCCAAGAGAAATGGCCATCAGAGTCGGACTGTTTCTTCTTCATCGTCATTGAAGCAACCTTCTTTGAGGAATATTGATCTCAATTACCAGCCGTCTTTTCTCAATGATTATTCAGATCATTCCTATTTAACTAAGTTACCTCAAAATTTAAATGCTTCTGGAGATTTAAAGTCAGACGAGTCTGTAATATCTATCATGGGCACAAGAGTGGTGGTCAAGCGTAGAGATTTCGTTCCTCATACTCTACCCTTGCCAAATGGCAGAACTCCAGAGCTTGAGTTTGATGTTAACTTGGCCAGAACTGGCAGTTTTCTTGGGATGGGATCTGCACCTCCATATGCCCATTCTACGTTATACAATTACAATGGCATTCCACCAGGTCATGCAATGCCTTTCTCCACATTGTATGGGGCTGCTGGCCACATTCCTTACATGGTGGATTCTAGAGGAGCACCTGTTGTTCCTCAGATTGTGGGCTCTGCATCAGCTCTACCACCTGCATTTTCTCAGCCACCATTCCTCATAGGTATGACTTCCTCAAATCTTTCAAATGGGGTCGTGCCGTCGCAGGGTAGTTTTGATCTCGACTCCAGGCTGATGTTGGAAGGTGGAAGTAGGGGCCCTACAGGCTTGGGACTCTTGTCCAGTTCAAGTCCGTTCAGGTCAACTGACGAGCAGTTGAGGTACTATCCCCAACCTTCCATCAGTTCAGTTGGTGAGAAACGAAAAGAACCAGATGGTGGGTGGGAATATTACCCATTCAAACAATACACACCACCACCATGGAAACAGAGGTAATTTAGACTGGCTTCCTTTCTTGGGATGAGATTAGGAGCAATTAGAACTGGGTAATGATTTTATGGCGATATTTATAACCCAAGAAGTTGGAGAGAGGTTTATAGAATCTAAATAATGATGGGAATTGTGGGTGTGATTAGATTCTTTACATTAATTATGCAGAGAAGAATATGATACTAGGTTTTATTGTTTTCAAGTGTTTCTAATTTCTCTGGTCCTCGTGTTGTAGAGAAGGCACTTCACAATCACAAGAAACATGTTACTTTTAGTTGTATTTTCTCCTTATATATATAACTGCAATTTAGGGGACATGCTCTTGTATATATGATCTACGTTTTGTATTCATACAAATGTAGAAGATTGTGGAACTGCATCCAGTGCTGGCGTTTTAATCTGTTTATTGTTTTTTGTGTTCCAAGTATCATGTCTTTCTTACGCATCATAATATTTCACGTCTCTGCCATTAGAATGGATATTCAAATGACGCATCTTTTTGACAAGGTAGCTTTACCCTACCGTTACCACATATATAACTCGATACTTGTTGCCAAACAACTTCGGTTTTTAACATTTTAAGGTTTTTTGCATCTCATATTTATTACTCGTGCGTGCCTGTTATTATCAAGCTAGCCCACAAGTTTAAAAAAAAAAAATCATTATTTCAGTTAAAGAACAATTAATTGACATTAACGAAGAAAAAGAAATACAAAACTTCATCCAACTTCGTCAGCTACACACACATTAAAGTTTTACACAGCATTAGTATATGTACATGACTACATATATTCAATCCTGAAAAGTAAAATTGCATGTGTAATTACAACAGCAGGAGCAAAAAGCAGAAAATTAACCAGTATAACACATTGGAACAGCTTCTGGGTTTGGGTTTATTGTATATGCTGCTGAGGTAGCCGGAACCGGACCTGAGACGCCGGCGATTTAACAGCGACACCGTGCCAGCAGATGCCGCCGCGGCACATTTCATGGCTATGATCGCGTGTCAATGCATACGTGGCCTTCCGGGACACGTCCCACGTCAGACTCGCAATCAAGATTAAGCCCACTACAATTGTTGACAGAATCAGCACATATCCACTGCTGAAGCTCCTCCCCGACGCCAGTCCATACGCCTTCATCGCCGCTATCACCACCAGGTACAGCGTCGTCAGGTTCCCCACCACCGCATCGGAAATCGCCATAAGAAATTTTCTTGCAAAATTCTCAGTTCATCAGAGTAGTACTGTCGGTGTGTCTAAAATTGATTCTCGATTCTGTAAATGGACTAACAAATCTAGAAAGATTTTGGGGGGTGGGTAGGGGGGTGTTTAATGCTTATGTTCGGTGTTGGGTGGGCTCATTAAGTAGAGGGTGAGTATCGTAATGGTGGCATTTCATTTCCACTGGTTTTGAGCTTATCTCCTTTTACTTCTTTTTGGTCAACATCGTTACTATTTTTCGATAATATGCTGCCACGTGGCAAGACTTGGATCACGACATTTGCGTACGTGGCACCCTGAAATTTCTTCTTTTAGTGGAGTATGAGCGAGCGAAACAAGGACTTGATGCCTACCCATGAAGATATTCAATTGGACGCAGTTGAATTTTATTAAATTACACGATTTTGTTACAAGAATTGCGCTAACTTGTGGAGAATGTCACGTTTATTTATATTAGTATGTCGTTGAAGAGACGTCACAACGAACATATGAGAGTAGAGTGAAAGTTTGGGAAATTCAGTTAAAAAGTTGGCACTAACATGATGTTTCATCCTTCATAAATTTCCTTACATAAACATGTGGGACCATGAAATACCTTTTTCTTTCATTTGAGTAAAAAAGTTGATAATTGATTTTATAATCAACTTGTACTGATTTTACAGCTAAGATTATATGGGTTGTTTTGAATTTTCTTAACTAACATGGATGATAAAAAAAAAAAAATAGTTTGGTGAACATGACGTGGGGAAATGAAATTTAATGAGGTGAATCATAAGTCGTAGTTTTAGAGAAAAGACCAGATGAGCGAGAATTGGAATGTAAAGCGTGTAATAAAGAATGTTCAAGATACAAGAGAGTTTCATCATTTTCGTTATTTTATGGGCATGCATCGACTCGGCTCACAAATTGTCATGTGTCGATCCTTTAATAAGACTAAACCGTGTCAATTCATTACACATTCAGACCAATTTGAAAGAGAAATGAGAATTTTCTGTTATAGATTGAGTTTGACTCTCGTTGAGACTCATCTCTAATATGACAACAAGGTGAAGTATCTTTGGAAGTAGTAGGAAGCTTTCTTCTTAACGAGGGTAGAGCCCTGAAGATAGTTTGTGAGAAACAGAATAACATTATCTAGTAATACTAACACTTAACAACAGTCTAGATGATAGTGAGATCACTTCAAAGTTATTCAATAAAGTCGAAATATATATTTATTTATTGAACAATGTAATATACATTGATCTTAAACACGACTAATTCAAGAGAAGCGTAGAAGATGGATGTACCTACTTTATTTCGTGGTACCATATTCTTGAAAGTTCAATTAGTTACGTAAATTCAAGTTAGTAGAAGTGTTTCTTAGTACATAACACGGCTAGGTGTAGATGCCACACCTTAAGTTCATCTGTATCGTTAGTTTGATATCCAAAGTGTACATTGCTTTGTGACAACATGTTCACAAACTTGCGCTCTAAATTTCATAATACTTTTCAAATTTGAAATTGTTGTCCAAATAATTCTATTGGTATTTCCCATCTCAAATACTCTGTGCCTCTCCAGCAACCAAAACATTTTGTTCATCAAAAAATTTCGTGTGAAGTGGGGATTTTATTCCAGCTAAATCATAAATTTTTCTCTCCCAAATTGTAAAAATAAATGAACTTCTTAAAAAATAACATTATAATTAGTTTAACGTTGATAAAATTGACGTGACAGTCAGGGTGGCCGAGTGGTCTAAGGCGCCAGACTCAAGTTCTGGTCCTCGTGAGAGGGCGTGGGTTCAAATCCCACTTCTGACATTTATTTTAAAAATATTTTTTCAATAACAGTTTTGCAAACGCCTTTTTTTCATGTTTCAATCTGACAAAATGAAAAATTCACGCTCCGAAAAGCATAGACTTTCAAAATAAAATGTGTGGACTTGGGCTAGGAAGAGTAGGCCCATTTTGAGAAGTTGGCTTCTTTCTTGGTTGATTTAGTCCGTCACATCAAAATGGTGTTATTTTCTTAGCCCATGCACATCAAAATGGTATTATTTTTTAAGCACATGTTCATTGCGGATTAAAATTCAAATTTTAATTTAAGTCAAAATCAATAATTAATTTTAACCACATATTTCATGGGTCCAACAACTTTTCAACCATATCTTTTATCATTTTTTATCAAAATCTAAAAAAAATATTATTTTAATCCCCACAAAACATGGGCAAATATACCTAGACATACGAGTAACATAAAAAATGACATCTTTTTTTTAGAAAAAAACACTATTTTTGAATTATTTTTTTATTTAAGCTTTACATAGGGAGGGAACGATATAATACTATCATTTTTACCACATTTTATTGATGAATTCAGATAATTTAAACATCTCTTCATTGTCGTTACGAATATGTTGATGAACCAAGCATATATATGTCAATGAATTTTATCAATAATTTATAATTATAAAAATTTATTGACGAATAAAGTCTGCAGTTTGACGTAACTTTTAAAAAAATCAAAAGTCGTTTTTCATGTGTGACTAGTTTCCTCTACAATCTTCATCGAAAAAGCTTTTTCATATAGGCAAAAGTAAAAGAAGAAATCGGTCATGACGAACCCTAAATATCTCCGTCATGTTTAGGATAAGACTTCAAGAAAGGCAAACACCGTAGATATCTTAACAAAAGGTAAAGCAATCTCCTCAAAGGTAATTGCGGCCAAACATACACACGCAGAAAAAATAGCTGATAAAAAACACATACAAGTCAAACATTGATATCTGGAGTTGAGGTGAAAAGTATGGCTGCTTACACAGCACAAGATAGGGGAAATGTTGATATAATTTTTTTTTTTTTTCCTTTTCACAAATCGTATTCATCCGTTGTAGTACGTTTGTTAAGTTATCAAACAGTATTAAAGATTAAAATAAGTTAAATTTTTGTCCGAAATATTGTTGTATCTTGCCACTATTGCATGCTAAATGTTAGAAAATATGAGTCGTAGATGGCCCATATGGGATGACTACCCACGAATCACAAGTTATTAAAATGGATTGGAGTGAGTAGTTTGAATAGAATTCAAACACATAACTTCCCTCAACTCCCACTTACTTCCAAGATTTTTGTAACGCCCACAACTTTATCTCGCAATTGAGAGAAAGAAAAGATGACAAGGATAGTGAAATTCGTATAGAAAATCACTCAAAAATAGAAAAGTGTATAGAACCACATATATGGCATCCATGGACATGAAAACTTACAAAATTAGGCATTTAGATTGTGAATAATAATTCTCTTCCATTGTGATCGGAATTAAGACCATTTGAGAACAAGAAAATACAAATTTTGGAGTTTTGAAATGCATAGCGATTCAACGACACAAAAATCCTGAAATTCATTTTTCCAAGTAAGGATTCTTAACCCGTAATTCACATTAAAGAAAGCTGCGAATTCTTATACTAAATATGCACAAAGAGATGCATTCCAAAATCAAATCGATGATTAGTAGTGGTTTTAGAGGATGATATTTAATATTGGGATAATAGTGACATGAGTTGCTTAGTGTTCAAGAATACTTTCGTTTAATATTTTATAACTATAAATTCGACAACTCTGTAATAAATTTCTTGATTTTGACATGTGTTGCAAAGAATGATCTTTTATGGGCAAACTTATCCAAAGCAAAATCAGCATTAATCTTTGCTCTTTCTATGAATGTACTTCCAGCAACCAAGAACGTGCATGGTATGTGAATTCTTTCCTTATATAATATTTTTCTATTCCTATATCAAAAAGGAAAAAGAGAAACTGAGTCATACCTTTGGATTCAATATTTTTTCTCCTTTTTATCAAGAAAAAGAACAAAGGATATGGTTTACTCTCTCATTTTCCCTTCATGTCATCATCCTATACTTTATTTGTCACTTAGATCTCTATTCAATGGCTGCAATTTGGTAATGACACGGTTTTTTCTTTATGACGATGTGTTTGTATATGACACTGAATAGGATTGGATATGATAATATACTTTTTTAAAATGATTGTATCAGTTCCGTAAAGAAGTGTAACAGAAGAATTGCTTTGTGATGGTTAATTTCTTCGTGCTGGTTTCGAATTCAAAGTACAAAATAACGACGTGTAAAGAAAGGTGACATGTGGCTGATGTGAGGAATGTTGGATGATAAAAGTTATATTGATAATTTGATATCATCCCTTTTCAAGTGATCAAAAGTTTTTATGAAAGGGTTGAAAATTTTATTTATTTATATTTAATCTTCAATACACTATTCACGTCAAATTCATATACTTATGGTGACTAAGAATTTTCCTCATCTCTTGTGTTTTTGTCCAATGGATTTCGAAGATAAAAATCTTTTATTTACCAAATATCAACTAGCCAACCAATCAGCATCTTTGATTAGGCAACTTAATCTCAGAATATACTAGAGATTCAATGATTATCCAAACATACCCTCAAATCGATGAATAGAAACCATGAAGCCAATCGAGTGCCAGATTCATCGTCCACCCAATTAATTATTAACACGTCATTTGAAATTAACATGTCAATTTTTTCTCTAACTACTCATTGCTTAAAAATAAGTGACATTTTAATGTAAAATGATGTGTCAGTAATTAATTAATAGACATCAATTTGGACAATAAAAAATGAATAGCAGATCTCAACTCTGCTCTCTCATGCCATTTTACAAGACTTACGATTGATTGAAGTGACTAGGACAATACCAAACCTCCAAACCGTAAATAAATGGTTCATTTCCTCTAGGAAAGATACGCATTTTTCACAATTCACTATAAAATATAAACTCGAGCTTACATATTACGATGTTGTTGACTTCTATTATTGCACCCTCATTCTTCCAAAGGTAAACTAGAATAGAGAATCTTCAACTATTGTACTTCAATATTTTCAAAATTTCACAATCTAAAATTAATTCGAAGTTTCCTATCCTTTTAAGAATGTAAGAGACTACTTTGAAAAACAAAAAGAATGTGCAAAGCTAAATACGTGCAAGCAACGAAGCCAGAAATTCAAGGTTCATGCCCGCGCGTGAATCACATAAAAATTAATTATCTTGTATAAAAAATAAATAGTTTACCTTCAATTCAAGGTTTATTTTCCGGTTTAAACTATTTGTACACACGGTGTACACCTTGATTGACACCCTTCTATGTGAAAAATCTAACGATTTGTACCCTTCTATGTGTCAATCTTTATGTACATATAGCATGATCTTTATTTTCTTTGTAAATTATAATAGACGGGTGCTTTAGTCGGCAGTTGTTTAATTGTTTGACAGATCGAAAGAGTAACGTGTTTCCTTTTCAATCCTTTGTTTACATTATCTAATCATTTGGAACTTAACATTATTTTATTTATAATCACTTTTTTTATTGCTTAATCAACTCTTTTTATTTTCCATTAAACAAGTAACATACAAACATGAGATAAAATAGATTATCTAATCGATCAATTTTCCGTCAAACCCTACTGCTTTTTTTTTTTTTGAATAAAGTCAATTGTGCATACTGATCGAGAAAAAGAAGCTAAAATGTTTAATTATACTATCAAATACCATTAAGTAGCTACATTATAAATATGTACTAGTCGCTAATCTACCAAATGAATCGCCCCCGCTAATCTCAATTTAAAAATAAACTAAAAATATTAAAACAAAAAAAAAAGTCTCTCAACTTCATTTGTGTGTCCTTGGTGACTCAATTCGACAATTGCTCAGCACATGGGCCATCTTTGTGGGCCTATATATGGAGAAAAGGCCACAAAACTGTCAACTGTCCACGCGTGATAAATTACCCAAATTCCGACAACATTGATGGGCCCATCTTGAAAAAAGAATTGAAACAATGTTGATTGAAAGAAATTAGAGCAAGTTAGAAGAGCCGACGTCGGCACATTGCCGCCAGGATAGCAACGGCTCCGGCCAAGGCCAGTGGCTGAGTACATGATGGTCGTGCACCGCTCACATCCAATGCTCCTTCGTATACCATCGTGCCATTGCTCTCTTCATATCCCGGAGTTTGTCCGCTCGATTTCTTTTCACTGCATCCAAATAAATTTTGTTAGTCAGAAATTTAAATATAGAAAATAATATCATATAATGTTTATATTACACGGCAATTAGTTGTCATTTCGTAAGTTGAATTGGATAATAATATAATACAATACAAAATAATTGATTAATTTTAGTAATTGTACCAAGTAAATTATCAAAATGCCCCTATTAATTAATGGAGAATTTTTTTCCCGTTGCAAACATTGGAATTGCCAGCCTAACGTTCGAATTGACAGCCTTTTATGAATTGTCACTGAATGGACAAAACTATCCTCGTAATAAATCTGCCTAAAAGTAAGCATCATGGGGATTATCGTAAATATACCTCGTGTTTGGCGCCGGACAGAACGTTATGATATAATCGGCGCCGGAACATGTGAACGTGCTTGTCTTATCGTCATATGCGTAACTGTATGCGCGTGGGCACGCGCTCTTAAAAACCTGTGAGTAGGACGAGGGAGTGCAAGTGTCGGGTGTGCCGTACGCGCCGCTGCAACAGTACTGCTCTTGCCCGAATGCCTCGCAGGCGCTCTTGCAAGCGACGTTCTCGCCGTCACTGCTCGTCACTCTGAGCTCCGACGGACACGCCCCGTTCAAATCCACCAAACATCCAGTAGTCGTGCAGTTGGCTCCGGAACCGCCCAATGGTACCACTAGCATCGCAACGTTGTAACCGTCGACCAGGCTGACATCGTAGAAGTCCATTCCGCCTGAACCATCGAGCGTGAACTCCGCCAGCGTTGCGGGCGGAGTTGCACCCCCGACACATTCCATTTTTCCGGAGCCACAATCACCTGTGATGCAGGAGAATTTGCCGGTGGAGTCCTCGCTGCAGAGAGTCCTACCCCATAACCGGCCGCCCCATGCAGACGGCGCATCGATTGTTCTTTTCTCACCCTTTTGCAATGCAAAACCGGTGGTGGAAAGTGGCGCAATTCCAGCATTTGATAAAATGCCTGGCCATACTGTGAACTCACACTTGTTTACTATTGTAAATGTCGCCGCTGAATATACTCCTGTAACAAAATCATTCATACAGATTAAGACATTAAAACGTTGAATTGATTAATTTTCTTCAACCTGCAAATAATATTTCTAAAATGGGTTATTTTTACCTGATAGAAGGAAACTTGAGAGCGTTAAAAGGAGAACGTGCAAGCAGAGTTGGGCCATTGAAGATGTAGTTATACAGTATATGTATGTATATATAGAGACCCGGTAGAAGAAGACGCTTGTAAATGAGGAAAATGTGAAGCGAGAGGTGGATGCAGAGTTATTTATAGAGTTATGGTGATTAGAGATGTCGTATTGCTGATGTGTAAGGTGGTGCCTACCGCCATTGTTCCGTTAAAATACCAGCATTTTTTTTTGTAGTGGAGGTCACATGGTGGGTGCAATGGACCATACTCGACTTGCTCTAGTTTTATTCTCAATAACTTTATAATTTTAAGTATGGTCCAAGTGACATTTTCGTAATTATCAAGCGATTAAAGAGTCGATAAGAATCTAAATCAATAATTAATCGGTAATCCTTCTAATCTTATTCTGCGAAAATACTTAATAAAGATCACATGGAATGCAATAATCATTTTGTAAAAACTATTGGATTATAAATTAATTTAGGACAAGACTAAATTAGTAGGATGATCGTGCCATTCTTCCTAAAATGAGATTATTTTAGTGCAAGGTTGTCATGACAATTACATCAAAGTTGTCCCTTATTCTTACATGGAATCAATTATTCTATTTGTACAGACGAAGTCGACAGATGCATATCTGGCGTGCATCGTCCCTTGTTTTGAATTGGGTGTAAAATAATTATATATATATTGGACCTGCTTAGGCCAGCTCCCACTATATCCTCCTTTGATTGTACCAAGCAATACAATTAGCATTACATTTTATTCTCATTTTTTAATCTTATGGGAAATACAGCACTTAATCCATAGGCCATGACATGACAGAAGCTGCTGGCGGCTTTTAACTGCATATAAATATATCCAATACTCATTTAAAATATATTTGTTGATTTAGTATATGCTAATTACTTGTCTTCTTGGAATTGTTCTTTGTTCATAGCATCTACAATTGCATTTTTAAAAATATTTTGATGATTAAGGGTGTGTTTGTCTTCCATTATTGGGAGAAAAATAGAGTAATGAATATTATTTTTTGGAGAATGTGTGGTTGAAATTTAAAGTAACTTTATTGATTTGTGTGTAGAATATTTTATTTGGTGAATGTGTGGTGAAGAATCTTACTGTAGCAAACAATTTTTTGAAATAACGGTAGANGTAAATTTATTGGTTTGTGTATAAAATATTTTACTGAGTAAATGTGTGGTGGAGAATTTTACTGTAGCAAACAATTTTTTGAAATAATGGTAGATAAATAGGGACTAAAAGCTTCCTAATTTTAACCGGCAGATGTGAAGACAAATGTATGGACAGTTTACAACAAAAAAATTGAATGATGAAAGTATTTTGAATTTTCAATGATGAAAGTATTTTGAATCGAGATGCAAAAGAATTGATGAAAGTCATTTATATTTTGCACAATAAATGGAGATGATTAGGACGCAATATTTTCCAAATTAAGTGCCCTTTGCCCTAAATATGGAATTCTGAAAGCAACAAACGAAAATTCGTAGTGGAGCCCTAACGTGGGATGAAAAAAATTCAATGTGACATCTGCCTAAATAATTCAGAGGGTGTTGTCAGCTTCTTTAAACTTTCTCAACAGAAGACATCTGCCAAAGTATAAAGCCAAAAACAAATGCAATAAGCTATTTTGTATCAAAATCAGAATTGGCCGTATTCTTGAAGCGGACACGGGAATATGAAAATTGAAAACGTCATTTTTGTGATAAGGGGTTGAATTTTCTTGCAACTTCTTTGTATTTTTCAGTTGAAACAAGTATATTCTGCTTAACATTGTGGAGATAAAAGCGTAACCATGTTGGGAAATGCTACTTATACATGCTGGTTTACCATTTGATTTACAGGTTGCCGAGCAGCCAAGATTTCACCAGCACCTGTAATCCTATCTATTAAAAAATTTTGTACAAGTAGCATTTTCCAATCATGTTTATGATAAAATCAAGGAAGGAAAAACGAAATTGAAGGACAGAACGCTACTATAACCAGCAGAAATTGAAACT